TTTTTTTAAAATAAAAAAAATGATGATGATGATAACAATAACAAAAATAACAACAACAACAACAACAACAACAACAATAATAATAGAAGGAGAAGAAGAAGAAATAAGGGTGAGGGGTGGGGGACCGGAAGATCGAAAGTGGAAGGAGGAGAAGGAGGAAGAGGAGAAGAAAAAGAAAAAGAAGCGGAGGAGGAAGAACGAAGAAGATGGAAATGGTGGTGGTGGACTGATGATGAACTTGACGGAGAAATATGGATAGATGAACTTGTAAATCTTTAGTCAAAACGTGTAAATCTTTTTGGACGGAGGTAGTATAATTTTTTATGGGATAATTATTTTCTTCTTTTTAAATAATTTATGATATTCTACAATGACTTCAAATTAAAAAAAGATATACACAGTACATATATACACATATTTTTATATGTCTACACATATTTTTATGTATCTACACATATGTTTTGCATATAAAAATGTCTTACACTTTTCAATATCAATAGAGAGAAAAAATATAAAAATAAGAATTAGGAAAAACTATATATAATGGATCGGATACACGAATAAACGGTTATTTAAACGGATGTCAATGTAGACCGGATTATAAACGGATTGAATGTATGATTACCAAATCCGTATCCGTTTAGCAATCACATATCCTTAATCGGATACGGATAATAACCGCTTTTAACGGATGCGGATATTTTTCATATAAACGGATATGGATGCAAATGGTAATCGAATTTTTGGTTATCCATTTACCAACCTAATCGTAAGTGAAAAAATATACGAGTGTGTTATGGAATTTGGAAGAAAGGTGTGACTTTAAAATGATGGATGAAGATATAAATTACTCCCTACGTCCCAAAAAGTTTGTTACGTTTAGAAAAAACTGCGTTCCGTAAAGTCCGTTACATTTCTATTAAAAAACTACTTTTACCCCTTACTTTTTCATACCCTACCTATCACATCATACCTTTTTTCTAATAATCTACCCATCACATCCTACTTTTACCCATCACATCAAGGGTATTTTTGGAAATTCAATATCAAAATATCTCTCCCTTAATTTCCTAAAAAGTCAAACCGTCCTAT